CTGCAGTTTCAGCTGTGCAGCTGGGATGTGGTGCTGGAGAAGTGAGTGGTGGGGCTGGGGAAGTGGCAGGAGAAGGGCAGCAGTGGTAGACAGGAAGGGGAAGTGGTGGCAAGCAGGAGCATGGGGCCCATGCCAATGTGCTGCGACCAGGAGTGGCGGAAGTGTGTAACATTCCCTCTGCACACATGCCACAACGCTCCCCCCATACCCGCCCACCATCCCCATACACCACCCCCCACACACACGCTCTTCCACCCTACATGCAGACACACCCACACCCACCACACCTATCCACCCCACCACGAACCCCACACGCACACACCCACAGCCCCTCACCAAATTATACTCCCCCCACTCACCCATACCCCCGACAATATACAAGAGTAAGACTACATTTTAAGCTATTATACAATCACTTCCATGTACAGTACACAAACACATGTAAATCAGGACAAAATTTTAGAATATAATTTTGTATTTTTCTGATTCCAAGACGTCCAAGATGGCAACCCCCCTTGTTGAATGTAGTACCTTGGGGGCGGGGGAGGGGGGAACCTCCTAGTGGTAAAGGTCTGGGGTTAGAAAGCAGGACTTCCAGTCTCAAGATGGTGACCGGGGGTGGGGCACCTGTCAAAGGGCTTTGCAGCCCTCAACAGCTTGCCAAAACTCAGTAAGCAGCCCTCTCCCCAAATTATTGCCTGCCCCTGGACAATGGTGATCACTCACAATTAACTGATCCATATGTGTTGCTTGTGAAAAATTAGGTACTAAATGTGGCATCTTTCATGGACCTTGAGGAAAGAATGTCTAGAAACCAATTTCATATTATTAGTATATAATCTTTGGTAAGTATGATGCCACATTTCATGCTTTGTCATCCTCACTGTAGACTATTATTGCCCAGAAGCCCACAGTGTGCTAGGCACTGTACAAACAAAGAAAAGCATACTCTTTCCCATGAGAGGCCCACAGTCTACTTCTGTGTAACATCTACCTCTTGTTTTCAGTGGTCAAGAAGAATATTGGCTATGTCTTAGAAACAAGAATTGAAAGGATCTCATTGTCATAAAGTCTAGTACCCTGCTGACCCAGGCACCACTTCATAAGTTACCATTGATAAACTTCCATACATAACAGTATATTTGATTTTTGTCCCCACTACTCTAATTATTCCAGAAACTGACTATTTTGATGGTTTGGAACGATCTTCTAAATTTTGGCATAAAATATGGTCAATTTATTCCCATTTGTCTTTATACCAGCTTTGTTTTTAGCTTAAATAATTCATCCTGATGCAATGATAGACATCAATTTTGTCTAGTCTCAGTCTTAATACACTATACAAGCCAAACTCGTCTACATTCCTGTAACAGGGGACCCTAGTCCTGTTATGGAGAAAAGGGGGCCAGGGAAGGAAAGGCATCAGGGCCCCTTTGAGGCCCAAAACTTAGTAGCCCATAGAGGAGGAGAATTACCTGCTGTAACAAAAGACCCTGCCAACACAGCCAGGGTGAAGGAGATTGACTGGCAAGGGAAGCCTCATCTGGAAAGGAAGGGGTGAGCATTTTGTGGTAGAGGGGGAATAGTGACCCAAGAGGGGAGGTGCCAGGCCCCTGGCTGGGAGCTCACAGCCCACAATCTGGTTGAAAGACCCAGCTGATGAAGGGGAGCAAGAGACTGACCATACCTGTGCCCAGGGAGAAGGAAGCCTGGACAACTGACTGGGTAGGCATTGTTGGCTTAGAAATGGCATTTAAAGGTCTGTTTTTTGGGAACTGGCTTATAGGTATAGGTACAGGTATATATGCATGCATTAGGATTGCTCAAGATGGGCAGCAGGGGTTTTATAGATTTCATAGATATTAGGGCTGGAAGGGACCTCGGGAGATCATTGGGCAGAAAGTCAGCCGAAGGGTAGGAAGTCAACTAGGTTCAAACAATAAGCAAGATAAGCATCCAAACACTTCTTAAAGGAGTGCAGAGTAGGTGCTGGCACCATCTCTGGAGGGAGCCTATTCCAAACATTGGGGGCTCAGACAGTAAAGAAGTTTTTCCTTATGTCCAGCCTAAAACTGTGTTTGAGGAATTTGTGACTGTTGGACCTTGCCATCCCTTGGGGCACTCTGGTGAACAGGCGTTCCCCCAGATTCTGATGCACACCCCTTATGTACTTATAGGCAGCCACCAGGTCTCCCCTGAGCCTGCGCTTTTCCAGGCTGAAGAGTCTCATGGCTCTCAACCTCTCTTCATAAGGCCTATTATCCTGCCCTCTGATCACACACATGGCTTTCCTCTGGACTCTCTCAAGCTTCTCCACATCCTGAATTGTGGAGCCCAGAATTGGATGTAGTATTCCAGCTGCGGCCTCACCAAAGATGAGTACAGTGGGAGGATGACATCCTGAGATTTTCCTGAGAAGCAAGCCAGAGTTTGGTTTGTTTTACCAGCTGTGACATTGCATTGGTGGCTAATGTTCATCTTGTGGTCAATCATAACTCCCAAGTCTTTTTCAGCCTTGGTGCTAGCGAATGTAGTACTGCTGAGCCTATAAGCATGTTGCAGGGGTTTTTTTCCCAAGGTGGAGTACCTTATATTTGTCTGTATTGAAACTCATCAGGTTTGTATCTGCCCACTTTTTCAGCCTATCCAAGTCAGCCTGTATCATTAGCCTATCCTCTGGTGTGGACGCTCTACCCAAAGTTCGGTATCATCAGCAAACTTGGCCGGTCCACTTCTGACACATGTATCCATGTTGTTGATAAAGACGTGAAAGAGAACTAGTCCAAGGATGAAGTTAATTAAATTCTAAAGAGCTTGGGTCTCGCACACAAAGTGTCTCATAGCCATGGAGGCAGACAGGTTGTCTAATACAACAAGGACATACAGTCTGGGAACCATGGAAGTATATACTATACTGCCCATAACATGAGATAAGTGGTACCAGCTACAAGGCCTCAGATCAGGGTGGGGCCTGAGCCCTGGTTTGGGGGAAATAGACCAAATTAGGAGAAGGCCCGGAAGGCTACGTGGATATGTGACCACAGAGATACAACCAGAGATAGCCATGAATGAAGAGTCATCAGAAGTCATCAGGAGGGAAGAAGAATACAAAAGCAGAGACTTGAGAGTAAGAGAGGGTCCCTCCTTGTCTTCCTTTCTGTCCCTCCCTGTGCTACCCAGGTTCCTCCTCCTCCTCCTCCCTGAGAGGGGTCCTCCCATCCTCATTTCCCAGGAAAGGTCCCTGAGCCCACCATGGAGGGAGCACAACCAGTCCGTTTCATACACCCCACTGGAGGGGGGCTGTGGGCCTCACATCCCACCTCCAGACTGCTGACACCTAAGAAAGAGAGCCTCAGAGTAGAGCCTGCATCCTGACTAGATGTACTTTGAGTCTGATGACAGCCCTAGGACTTGGTAGATATATCGAATTGCTTGATTGTTTGTATTGGGTTTTTTTTGTTAGCACTATCAATAAATTTGCCTATTATTGAATGGAAAGGCCATAGTTGGTCAAAGAGTGGGTCTCCCTGCCCCAAACAAGGTCTCGGTCCTAAATCCAGAGCCAACAGGTGTGACTGACTGAGATATAAACTCTCCCTAGACCAGAGAAAGGGGGCTGGCCATGGTGGCTGAGGGATGCAAGCACAGAAACTCTTCCAGGCAGGAGGACTGCTGCCTGTGAGGAAGGACTTCTGTTGACCAAGATGAAAAAGCAAGTACTTGGAAAGTGTTGAGTCTTTCCCTGCCTTTTCCCCTCTTCCCTCTTTTTTGTGCTTGGAAGGCCCCAGAAAAGGGATGCCCCAGATTGAGGATTGTTTTATGTTCACCCTGGAGGAGCCCCAGGGGAAGGGCTGAGCATACCCAAGCAGACTGAGAACCGTTGGCACTGGAAGGGCCCACAGCAGTGGGATACGCCGAGGACCATGAACTGTTTATGAGACTCTGTGAGGTAAGGGCCTGCTCTTTGTTCTTTTTTTGTTTGCTTGCTCTGCTCATGACAGTAGATATGGCTGTGAGGGACAGCAAGGAGGCTGTAGAGCAGTGTGCCGTGTACTGTGATTTTTTCTGTAGTTTCTATTTTTTTTTTTTTTTTTAAGTTCCTTTGACAGTTTTGGAGCAAGAGACCTAGGAGGGGGCCAAAACTTAGACTGACCACAGTCTGGACTGAAGAAATAAGACAGGCTTATCGCAGCAGGGCTTTGCCTCCACCCATTGATGAAAAGGGGAGCAGGAGAAAGAGAGGGGGCAGAACCCCACACTGCCTAATCAGACTTGGGGCCAGGGGCAAGATAGGGAGACAAAATGCCTAAAGCCTAGGCTTAGGTTACCTAAAGACAGACTCATAAGGAAACATTTGCAATAACACCAGACCATGGCAGGTGATTGAGAGAGACAGGAGAGACAGAGCACACAAGAGAGAAACAGGAGACACAGAGACAGAGAGAAAAGGTCCAAACTAGAAAACCAGAGCGCCAGGTACAGCGCCACCACAAAGGGATGGTCAGTCATTCCCACAGGAGCATCCCATTACAACTCCCCTCATACGAAAAGTTCTCATTTCCTCTTATTATATAACACTGCTTACACCAAGTTCCACGAGGGTGGTAACACAGTCAAAACAACAAAGAAACAATATTTCATGGCTGCATTTGTAAATACTGGAAAAGAAAACAACATGGCTGTTAAGGGGACCAAATGGCAGATGATGAAAACCTGCAAGAGTTATATCTCTACGGATTGTAAGGAAAGGAACAATAGCTTGGAAATGTTTTGGCAACCTGGATGTGTGGGAATGGAGAGAGATATGGATGTCATTTTGCAATGATCAGAGATGGATTTACTCACTGGAAGACACATTTCAGTGAGAGCAGCAAAACTTCTTGAAGATTTTCACTCCTTCCAATCAAGGCATCTTTAAGACAATTATTAAACCACTCAAAGTCATACCTGATCTATACACATGTACAACACGCTCCTTGACAACAATGTTTTTTCCTTACCTCGTAGAGTGTAATGATACCATTTGTCTCATTTGGAGGCTTCCACTGAACATAAATCTTCTCTTCGAAAGGTCCTCCCTGGATGGATTCCAAAGGAATGGGCCCAGGAACTATGAAGGAAATGAATGCGATGTTACTAACTTCCATAAACTCCAACTGCCACATGCACATAACCTAGAGATGCTAGGGTCCTTCAGCACTGTCTGGTGCTGGTCTGGTACTCTAGATCTGAGAGTGCGTATACCATAGATATCGTGGACTAGTTCGAAACATTTAAAAAGGCATTGGTGCCCAATTACTCTTGTTCTATTCTTGACCTGAGGGTAGAAACAGAAACATTTATAAGCACAAAAAGCAGACACACATCATGGTGCTACTATCTGGCATGCCAATATTCCAAAATGTTCCACCAACAAGCTTGAGAGTTTATTATGAGTTACCGTTGTAGAATCAGAAGTTATAAAAGTTAAAACTACAAAAGACCATTTAGGTTATTATTAGGGCTGTGTGAAATTTCACGGGCTCTTTCATTTCAACACTGTCTTGACTCATTTCAAGCTCAAAACAGCAAAATCGAAATAAAATGAAGGGCTCTGAAATAGCTTCAAAACAAAATGAGGACAGCCGAAACACTTTGAAAGTTTTGAAACGTTTCAAGTTTCGAAGCACCATGGCTAAGTTCCCTTCCCCAGGGCTGCAATTGGGCTGTGGAAGGGAACTCAGCCCAGCTGAGATCCCCTCCCCAGTGCTAAGATCGGGCTGGAGAAGGGAACACAGCCTAGCCCAGCTGAGTTCCCCTCCCCAGCCCAATCCTAGTGCTGGGGGTGGGGGGAACTCAGATGGGCTGGGCTGAATTCCTTTCCCTGGCCCAATCCTAGTGCTGGGGTGGGGAACTCAGCTGAGTTCCCTTCCCCAGCCCAATCAAAACATTGAAACAGCATGGAAACAGTGAAACTGTTTCAACAAATAGGAACATAACAGTGTTTTGTAATCGAAACAAAACTCAAAACAAAACACTGTTCCCTCAAAATGTCAAAACAGATGTTGAAGTGGAATGCTGCTGTTTCGCACAGCCCTAGCTATTATCAGCTAATGCTTCCTTTGCATATCTGCACACACACTTGCTTCTCCTTTCCTTATGGAGGGATGTCAAACTCAAACCAATTACAGGTCCAAATTTCCTACTTTTCAGGTGCCCCTGGGCTGCTTCCTGTCTCTCATCAGCAACTGTCACTGGGGTACTGGCAGCCCCAGCAGCACTATGGATGGAAGGCCTGCTACTATGGATGGCAGAATAGCAGCAGTGCATTCAGTTACTCACTAACCCAATCCTATGGCCTTTCCTGTTCCGGGACAAGCACAGACATGACTGGTCTTGGGACAAATGAAATATCTGTTTATAACCTTATTTTTTTAAGATACTAAAACTCCCTCATTTAAATAAACTTAACATAGTCCCAAATCAACTTATATCACAATCATAATAATATTTATGACTTGCAAAGCATATTCAAGTATTGTCTTCCCTTTACAGAAAAGAAACCAAGGCTCAGTGAAAGCCCAATCCTATCCACAGGGACTCTTTGAAAAATTGGAGCTAAAGTGCCTTGCTTTGTCACAGATCAATCAGTGACTAAGCTGTGAACAGAGCCATCGGTATTCTGTTGACTGGAGAATGCCATCCCTAATTCAGAAGGCACAAAGGGCCAAAAGATATACCTAGCAATTCTAGAGATCATCAAAATTGCTTTATGCTTACAAGCTTATTTAACAGCATGCTGTCTAAGCTAACCCTGAGAAGAAAGTGACAGTAAACATGTTCTTGTATATAAAATGTATGCATGCACTCTGAAAGAGCCATTTGTCCAAAAAGCATGAAAAAAAATGTGCATTGGGTATGCTGGCATTCATGCTTTGTATGGTTTGATATGGCATTAAGTTGTTTAAAATGCCACAACAGTTCTGTATTGAGTATAAAACCAAAATACCACAAAGCTAGAGACTAAAGCTGCTTACAGACATGAAAAAAGGAAAGTGCGCTTTACTTTCTGCTCGACATGCCTCTGCACCAAGCACAGCACAAGCCCAGAAGAAACTTTGTGTTAGTTTGACCCACCTTGCTCAAATCTGTATAAATCAGGTGCTTCAGCAGGGGGTTTTTTTGCACTTTTGTCCAATAGATGATTGAATCAGCTTTAGATAAAAGCACCAAAAAGCCCCGCTGAAGTGCCCGATATATACAGATGCTGGGGAGCCAGGTCAAATTAACATGCTTACTCTTCCAGTAAAGCACTGCAGTTCCCCCTTCACCCCCCAATCTGTCAGTGGCCTAAGTCATGAGGTCTGTATTTAGGATGCATGAAAATGAGACAATCTAACGGTTAAACTTTTCCTCCTAGCTTGAAGATGGCCTTCTGGATGATTTTATTCATTATCTTATCTCTTAGTTCTTTTTATAAGTATTCTTATCCCTTGTAATAAATACTTCTTTATCAGATGCCTTTTCTTCATTATCTGCTCCTCATGCACATTCTGGCATGGAAGTTCAGATAGGTTGTTCTTAATACAGTGTCATTCAAACCAAATATTTAAATGCAAAGTGCCAATTACCAGAAAATGTCTTTGACTGATAAACACTAAGGCTTAGGCCCGAAACTCTTCCATCACTGAATAAATCTATGATAGAAGAAATTGTCCAGCAAGAGGGACCAATGGCTGCATCCCACTACCCCAGCTTTAACCAACAGATTGTTCTGTAGAACAGTTTAGAAGTCACAGGACGGTTTTTAGGTCCTCATTTAAGCCTAAAATGTCATGAATCAGAGAATAAACATGAGAAAGCCAACAGTCAGCCATAAAGACTCTACTAATACATTCAAATCCCACACTAGGCACTCAGGCTTTGAAATGCATCATTTCCTGCATTCCACACCTATGAGCCAATCAAAGCATCCAGACATGGGATTTAGCATTTTAGTAAGATGTCCGTGCTGGGAAGCTGTACCAACAGTTTGTTCAACCAGCTGGTAGAAGGCTGATAATTGAGTAAATGTGTTCTAGTGACTGACTACCTGATTAGTTACAGCACTTTTCTCTTGCCTGCATAATACAAAAGGCCATGAAACCCTCTGGTTTGGGTTCATCACATTTTGGCTTTTATAGGTAAGCATACTGGAGAAAGGCATTTAACATGTTGAGACAGATGTGCCTTGTCTAGGCCAGACATTTTATTAAGTCAGTGGGAAGCAGAACAGGGAAATTGAAAGAACAGATCTGCTGAGCTCTTACAAAAACATTGCACAGCCGATTGTGACATGAGGTCTCACCCCTGGAGGAGGTAGACAATTATGCTGGAGCTCGACAAATTTGTGGAAAATATAGCAACCTGTATAACTGTAGATGCGTAAAAATATAGATTAGGTTACACAAGGAAGGATTATGACTTCAGGGTCATAAAGTGTTCAGTTCACACACATATTTAGAAGGAGGATGATAGTTCATCTCCAAAAAGGCAGTCAAGTATTTGCCTTCTATACAGCTGTTCACAGACTAACAAAGTCATGTTTTCCACATAACTTCTACTTTTTGAGTCTGGCATTAAAGACAGAAACATATACCTTCAGATTCTGGGCATTTGGGGCAAATACCTGGAGCTCAAAACCTTAGGTAAAAAACTTTTTTTTCATGATGCAGCTTCTATACAAGTGAACCCCCTTCTCAATTGCCCGTTGCAGCCCTGACGCTCCAGTAGCTTCCCACAAAAGCTATGCTTTGGCTTGATAGAAAGCAATGAACACGTGCAATAGCACAATGGTGGATCCATAACTCTTGCTCCACAGCCTTCACTGCCCCACAGCTCATTATCCTCACAGGATGACAAAGATGTCACCCACAAAGCTGATCTCCATCCAAGTGCTATTTACCCTCTGCATTAGGGGAATGCTGCATTAACATGGGAGAAGGAAGACTTGCCCATTTACAAAAACAAAATGTCTTCACCTTTGAAACACATCCCTAAAGAATTAGAGAGCATGACCTCCATCAGCAGTTGTAATCAATGCTAACCCTTCACTCTCCCCATAAAAATCCACTGATCTTCAACCCATGAGAAACCATCACAGCAGCTCCTAACCTCAGTCCAGGAGCATTAGAGAGGAAATACACAATCCTAGCATGTGACATGAAGTGTTGAGCAGGGACACTGCAGTCCACTCTGCCATTAGACGAATATCCTCCTTTTTAGGGGCCAAATACAAATTCTCTAAGTCTGTCAATTCTGTAGTATTGAGCATGTGCATTTTCCTCTGAGTTTTCTGTACTTACCAGCAAACCATCAAATAAGGCAAACAGATGGGTCTGTGCAAGAAAATATCTAACATTCTGGTTTTAACCTTAAGGGACAGTTATATTCAGGTGTGAATTTAAACGTATCTTCCTTTTCTTTGTGTCACAGCAGTAAAACTCCATCTACATAAATAGCCACATTACACTTTGGTATAAAGATGCTACTGGGCCTTTCCACCTTTACCACCACAAAAGGCTGATATTCCCAGTAGAGTAACAATTCAAGATTTATATTTAATTATAGTTACAAGGGCAGCTAAAAATCTACCTACTCAAGCACATTTTTAATGCTGTGAAAGTTAACTAACTAAATGCGCTCCCAGTCCTGTCTGACAAAAACCCCGTTGGCTTCCTTGAATTAATAAAGGCCTGCTGTCTCCCAAAGTCCTCCTTGTGATACGTTGTAATGCCAGACTCAGTTTCAGCTGAGAGGAATTTAGCAGTTTAGCTCCTAATGGTTCAGGCAAGGAAAGGATGCTTCCTTGGTGTCTATTAGAATATTTATAAATGGTGAAGGCTCTTAGTTTTAATCTCAGCTAAGATGGGATAATAATACTTTACTTTTCATCTATACATCCTCAAAACACCTTTCCTAAAGTAAGGAGGACAGAATCTGTACCGCTGGTTAATTAGCCCCCAAATACAGAATACATTGGGTTATAATTTGTCCCAGAATGCTCAGTTATTGAGCAGGTGCGAGGCGGAAATTAAAGTGACAAAAATCTTTAACATTACTTGACTACCTAAATAATGCTAAGTCCTCAGAATTTCAGTTGCTTATGCACCCTTAACAATGAACCTCCTGCATCTGAACTGATGCAGAAATGATGCAGAAATCCAGCTGAAAGAAGTCAATGGTCCTATAATTAAAATGTGTACCATAACGTATATGCAGGGATGGGCAACTGAAAAGTTGTCATTTCTTAACATGAGTACTTGAGTTTTCAGCCTACACAATTATCTTTTTTTTCTCTATCTTGAATTAAGTTTTCTAGGGCTTTTTAAAAACAAACTCTAGTCTGTAAAACTGTAATAATTCCCACACGTTGGATATCAGCAGGATTTGAAACACGAGGCTTCATTATAACTACTGTGCATGTATCTACTTTTCACATGGTATTAGGCCAAAAAAACTTCCATTATAGCAAATCAAGCAAGCCATAGGGCAAGAAAAGCTGTTCTCAGAACCACTGGGTGCTGACCACTTGCACCGCGCAGCTTATGGCCCTTTACTGCTGACTGGCAGGCAGGAATACTACTTGTTTTTTCACAGTGCTTTACGAGCATTTCCCACTTCACAAAACACTGCTGCAAAGCAGGGAGATATAAATAATTATCATTTTACTTGTAGCCCAAGGAAGTCTGTCACTAATACATCACCTGCTCCAAGGTCCTTGACACCATTTACAAATTGTTTTTTCAGAAGTTACTTAAAGCTTTAAAAAACAGAACTCTTACCATCTTCCTCAGTCTGCACAACTAGTTCCTCACTTTCCATCTTGCCCTCAGGATTAGAGAGCGCTAGCCTCAGGCGAATGGTCATGAAAGGCCGAAGGCCTCGCAAGGTGTAGTGCGAGGAAGTCTGGATGAGCTCCTCTGCCTCATACTTCTGCTGGTTAAACACGTACTGGTACTGGACGGTAAGGTTGTAGCTATGGCAGCGGGTCACTGCATAACCAAAGGGTTCCCATTGCAAGGTTAGTTGTCGGGAACGAATGTCAACAACTTCCACGTTCTGTGGTCCATGGACTGGATCTGTGAAGCAAGTAAAGGAAAGAAAAGGGCTTTAAAGGAGTCAGACATCCATTTTCCTGTGTGTACCTGGCCTTTGTTAGCATAGGAACTACTGAACTTCCAGTTTAAGAACTTCTGTATGCAGAGCTACCTGGGCACTGCCTTCTACTGTACAGACTTCCCCAAGGAGATTATGCCTATACTGCCTCTAGGGCACCTTTGAGCTAACCTTTATCTACCTACTCCTACTCTGTATGATCCAAAATAGGAACTGAAAGGGGAAAATGCTCCAGAGATGATCACTGCTACCACTCCCAAGATCTTATTCTCTGCTGTGCTCAAGAGGTGCTAATACAGCATTGCCCCTCTCTCTCCCCCAGTTCCAGGTTTGGTTTGTACAGAGGGATGGGGAGGGGTGGGGAGGGGAAGGAGCTTTAGGAGGAATCTCAAGTGTGCTGCAGAGGTAGTGGGGCCATGGCTTAAGGCAGAGGTGGTCAACGTGTGACATGCATGCCACAAGTGGCACAGGCGGCTTGTGTGTAGTATGTGGATGGGGAGGGGAGAGAAAAACCAGCCCAGTGGCAGACAGGGCAGGAACCAGAAAACACAGCAACAGATTGGGCAGGGGAAGGGGATTAGAGTGGCATTTGGGGAGGATGCAAGGTTAATTTGTGACATGACTGCCAAAAAGGTTATATCCCCTACTAACTTAAGAAACAGATGCAAAAAAAACAATACACATACACACTTCTTGGGCTGAGTGTCACCATGTAAAGTCACTTGGAAGATCTGGGTTTAAGTGACTGGCTCATAGTTTCAGAGGAAATCAGTGGAAGAACAGGTAATTGTACTCAGGAACATCCTAGGCTTGATGTGCCAAAGTGCTGGACCATCCCCTTTCCTTCCTTTCCTAGATGCCAGAGAATGAGCACATGCTGGCACAATGCAACACCACGGTTCTAGGAGTGTGATTTTGGTATTGCCACCGGTGTTAGTGGCCCCAAATTTTAAATGCTCAGGAGGCACACCATTGGCACTGGAGAAGATAGAGATTAGACTAACAAAGCCTTGAGTTGAGTTATCTGAATCATCCTAACCATGCATCAAGAAAACCAATATTTTCATCATCTCACCTAAAATAGTTTAATCATTCTTTATTATTTTTTTTCCGTGGATTCAGACTGAGACGAAGATTGAGCATGCATATAAAAGAATAAATGTTCGTCAGCTTTTTAAAGTACTTTTTAAAAAGTAAATTCTCTGACTATGGACCCTGGCCTTTACCAGATAGCACATTTATATTTTTTTTTATAAATCAGACACATTAAAGATCGAGTTAATGGAGTAAAATCAGTGAAGAATGATTGATGTGTGCCAGGTATCAGGTAGTAATTATATTATACCTGGTGAAATATATACAACTTTTATCTGATATTTCTATATATGGCACACTACATTTCAGAATTTCTACTCAATATGCATGTGTTCAGGGGAGACAGTGAATGATGCAATACATAATTTTTCTTGCAATTCCTTCATTTTGCTGAACATTTAAAATGTTTTACCCACTAATTCTGTCCTCCTAACTTTCACTCCAAAGGAAGAAACAAACACCACCACACATGATGAAATAAAAATAGGTTGACATTTTAAAGTGAAATAAAGTGGAAGAAACAACCCTCTAAAATGTTTTTTCTGAGATAACTCTCCCCCCTTCCCCAATCATTTCTAACTTTGCTAATAAGTAAGTAAGGAACATATTACAGCAGATGGTGAATATAGAATCTGTAAGAATTAACAATGAGAAAATAACTGTTGAACATTGTTATATATACATGAGGACACAAAAACTTTAAAAAATAAGACATTAAAATGGAAAGATTTAAAGTCTTGTGGCTGTGGGTGAGAACTGAAAATAACATAAAAACATTGCCCCACATATGGGCAGGAGAAAACTAAGATTGTCACTCGGTTGCTATTGTATTTCAGTTGTTATAGTTAGTTGTTTCTTTCATTATAGCACATTCAGCTATGGGCTGCATGGCTCTGTAGATGCATTTTCATGCCTCAAACCTGCTGTCTGCTTTGTACCTATTTTTAGAGACAGGCATAGAGGTTCAGGAGCTGGTGCAGAAACAGCCTCAATAGAAACTCTAAAATCAGATTCTAGTTACCTGTTCGAGCAACTACCTAATACTTCTTCTGGAAACACACATTTAAGCATGCTATGTTTAACAAGTGCAGATATTTGGGCGTGAAAGCTGGTAACTAATCAATAGCACAGAACAGTACTATATTCACTGTGGCTTGGACTAAGTGGCAAGAAATGCTGTCATAAAACAAAGATTGGACCCTTAGATTGAAATTTGGTTAGACCCCTGGGATCTAAAGTCACTGGACAAATGGAAAAAGATGTTATTGTTCTTGTTATTTTGGCAGGTTTTTTATTTTGTTTTTTAAGTGAACAAAGGCTAGGCACCCAGTTTAACTTCTCATTCAAAAATGCCAGGACAGTACTGCCTAGCGCAATGTTGAAATTTAGGGTGAGAAAGGTCTCACCCTGTCTTACATCCAAAGTATGGCCTATTGTTTTTTGTTTAGTAATTTAGAAAGCCATCTGACATTATGCCTATTGTTAAGCTAATAAATGCTGGTGCTCTCCAAGAGAATGGTGCGGAGAAACAGGTAGAAAACTTGGCAAGATAACAGAATAATTTCAGATTTATACAGGCCTATGAGGATGTTACAACAGAGAAGACAGAAGCCTTTACAATCATCCCATTTTTTTATTAAATAGGATTGGAAATTGCTGAGCCTTGAAAGCCATTAGCTGCAAGCTGAGAACTCCACATATTTTCCCCTCATGGATCCCTAAAAAAAACACGTGCTGCTGAGATCACTCCAAATGATTTTGGTAAATGGAGCATCTATACTTTTGAAAAGCCTCATGTGATACAGTTCAACTCTCTTTCATTTTAAATTTGAAACAAAAAATGTGCTCTGTAAAGGAGGGAGGAAAACAGTGAATGCATGCAGATAGACAGACTATTCTTACTGTCAGAAAAGACTCATCTCAGGAAGGTTTCTGGGTGTACTAGCAAAGTAGCATGTGGAAGAAACTCATCTGAGTGTTCATGCCTACCAGTAGCCAATCTTGGATTTTTACAATAGTGAATGAATGAGTTTTCTGCTCCTGCTTCTACACTGTTATTAAGAAGTATCTACATACAGAGGTGCCTTTTGTTATACCCAGATCTCTATGGCTGAGCCATCTTTTTCAAGGACCTTGACCCATTTGTGGCAGAGAAACCATTTGCCACCCTGTAGCAACTAATCTCCTTCTAATCCTCAAACACCCTTTCCTTTTCCTTCCTTAACCCTTCTGACAACCATACATCTGGGATCTCCAGTTGTTCACTGAAACATTAAAGAAACCTAATAATCTGTGGACAGTTAGGAAAACTTGGCCATCACTGACCCGTCTGAGGATACACAGCAAAACAAGTGTTAAATACACCGTTTCATTCCCTGAAGTATTATTGATTAGTGGATACAGTTTTAGAAGTGGTGATGCAAACTAGTGGTTTTCAACCTTTTTTTTCATTTGCAGAACTCTAAAAATTTCTAATGGAGGTGTAGACCCCTTTGAATTGTAAGCATGGGTATTTACATACTTTTGATTGATCATAGACATCTTTCATGGACCCCTTATACATAGTCTCTGGGCCCCCAGGGGTCTGTGGACTACAGGTTGATATAAGCACAACATGGCCATTCAAGCTTCTAAATTATGTTGCTCATTAGTCTTTTTTTTTCTCTTTGAAATCAGCCAAAGAAAGTCTCTGACATAAGGAGTAGAAAGGGATAACATGTGTGGTCTTGTTTAACACAGGTGTTACAAAGCTAGGAGCTCTTTAAAAAACATCCATCACTCTTATCTCAGGATATGTGCTTTTGGGATGGGGATGTCACGATCCTGAAGACACCGAGGTCAAAATTTCAGGATAGGCACTAGTCTTCACTTTTACAGCAAGTATGATTGGGTTGTTTTAGTTACAGAGGGAACAAATAGTCACAATAGCTAGCTGATACAGCTAGACTTTGGCCAAACAGCATTGCCTCTGACATCATGATCCCTAATCTTCAGACTGCGTGCATCACAGCAAGCACAGCCGGATGCAGCAGATAAGGCAATTAATCAAACTGTATTTGGGACACAACCATTAGGATGAAAATTCTGGAATAAAAAGGAGTTGAGAAAAAAATATCAATCTTCCTTCCTGATCAGATTTAGATGATTGCTCCCTACCAACAACGCTTATTCATCACAGGCTCTTATTGTTCACATTCTGTACAGGGGTTTCCTTCCTGGCAAAACACTTCTGCATTTGACTCCTATGGGTAGTCAAAGAAGTCTTTGACTCCTTAAATGGCACAAGACAGTAACAAGTCTTGTTTGGGGCTTTATCTGAGGAAAAGTTATCAAAACAAAAATGTAAAAAACTTGTCCCCCAATGCCCCCTCCACTCAGACACCAAATCATCACCCAGTGACTCCTAACCCAAAACCAACATATGCCTGAGAGACAATAAAAATATTCATACTAAGACAACTGTAAGGCTGAAGATGGCAATTAATCACTATTTTAATTTTATGGTGTTTTTTTAATTACAGCTATTTTCTTTTTAGTCATTCACATTATAGAATGAGTAATTAATTATGGTATGCCTGGTTTATCAATGTCAGATTTGCCCACTGCATTGGTGCTGTGGGAAGGGATTGATTCTGACTGAATGTTACCTCACCATCTATTTGCCCCAAACTCAAGTTCAACAGTCTTCTAATATGAAATACATCTTATTTTCCTCCTAATTTCTGTGCTCACCTTAGCACTTCCTGTTTTCTACCAGGACTAGAACCTTACTTTTGTGATATCTGCAATACAGCTTCTAATAAAAACGTAGCACTTTTCTGAGATGCAGTCTGAGACCTTTCCTTGGTTTTTGAAATGCTGAATCTTT